CAAACAAGATTTATATGCCGGATTCCGTATCACAAAATCACAAGTCAAACATTTCCCAAGCGTCTAGGACTACTACTACTACTACTACTACTAGCTGTCCCTTTCCATGCGTTGCTGTGGCCCAGTCTGTGTATGTGTTTTCTGTGTGTGTATATGCATTTGCGCATATATATATATATATATATATATATATACACACACACACACACACACACACACACACACACACACACATACACACACACACGGCGCTCCATGCAGTCATGCTGGCCACATGACCTTGGGGGTGTCTGCGGACAACGCCGGCTCCTAGGCTTAGAAATGGAGATGAGCACCCCAGAGTCAGACATGACTGGACTTAATGTCAGGGGAAAACCTTTACCTTTACTTATACACACACTTATACACACTTACACACACACACCCCATATATATGTGTGTATATATGTATGTGTGTATATATATATATATATACACACACACACACACACACACACACACACACACACGCATACACCGTGTGTGTGTGTATGTGTGTAGTGTATGTATGTGTGTATATGCAAACACATATACATATATATATATACACACATAGATACACTACACATACACACACACACGGTGTATGTATGTATGTATGTATATATATATATACATACATACATATATACACACATATATATGGGTGTATATATGTGTATGTGTATATATGTGTGCATATATTTGTATGTGTACGTGCATATTGTGTATATTTGTGTGCTTGTCTATATGTATATTTGTGCGTATATATGTGTATGGATGTGTATATGTATATATGAATGTGTGCATGCATATGTGTATATGTATATGTGCGTATATATGTATATTTGTGTGTTCATGTGTATATATGTGTATGTATATGTGTATATTTGTGTGTTTGTGCATATACATATATGAATGTGTGCATGTGTATATGTATATGAGTGTATGTGCATATGTATATATGGTGTATTTTTTGGGTTTTTAAGTGCTCCGCTGGGGTTTTGTGTCTGTGTGTGTGTGTGTTTAGGGGTGATGGACACTCGTTGGACTGTTAGGTGTGTTGTGTCCACATTTCGTGTCAATTCGTCCAGTGGTTTTTGAGTTATGTTAATCCCACAAGCAAACATTACATTTTTATGTATATAGATTATTATTATTATTATTATTATATTACATATTACAGTGTTCCCTTGCTACTTCGCGATTCACTTTTCGCAGATTCGCTGTTTCGCGGATTTTCACTTTTTGTGTGTGGTCCTGAAACGTAACACCCGCAATGAGTGAGGGAACACTGTATTAGTGTGGGTACCAAGGGTTGCCTGAGTTATTTGAAAAAGTCAATTTTTAATGGTACCAAGTGCATAATATTGTGGGTGAACTACAACTCCCATCATACCAGGTTAAAAAAACCCGCGAAACAGCGAGTTTGTGAAAAGCGAACCGCGAAGTAGTGAGGGAACACCGTAAAGTAGTGAGGCAGACTCTGTTAGAGTCTCTCGTCGGTGTGTGACACTCTCCTCTCTCCAATCTTCCCCTTTAGGTTTCCTGCCTGAAGGACCCTCCTTCATAGGATCCCAGACCTTCTAGGTTTGACGTCAGGCTCCGAGCAAAAGAACAGACAATCACAACCGACTACAAAATGGAGTAAAATACCTGCCCAAGCATGAGCAGGAAATGTTTTAGGCCCTGCGTTTCTCTCTCTCCAAATTCCGCACCTCAGCACGTTAAGCTTATTTCTTTTTGGGTCAGGCTATGCGCCACAGCAAAGCTGATAAATCACAACGTGTATCTTAAGCAGTTCTATATATCCCGTATTTCATCCGCTGCTGCCAAATAGTCATGCCCCTAATTTCTTGGGTGTGGAAATTGGTATTATTTGTGTTCCTCGCGTAATAGTCGCAGAGCCGCAGCAAGCTGATACATCACAACGTGTAATTTAAGCAATTCTATGTATCCCGTATTTCATCTGCTGCTGCAAAATAGTGATGCCCCTCATTTATTGGATAGGAAAATTGGTATTATTTGTGTTCCTCGCGTAATAGTCGCAGAGCCGCAGCAAGCTGATACATCACGACATGTATCTTAAGCAATTCTATATATCCCGTATTTCATCTGCTGCTCCAAAATAGTCATGCCCCTCATTTCTTGGATAGGAAAATTGGTATTATTTGTGTTCTTCGCGTAATAGTCACAGAGCCGCAGCAAGCTGATACATCACGATGTGTATCTTAAGCAATTCTATATACCCCGTATTTCATCCGCTGCTGCAAAATAGTCATGCCCCTCATTTCTTGGGTGGCAAAATTGGTATTGTGTTCCTCGCGTAATAGTCGCAGAGCCGCAGCACGCTGATACATCACGACGTGTATCTTAAGCAATTCTATATATCCCGTATTTCATCCACTGCTGCAAAATAGTCATGCCCCTCACTTCTTGGGTGGGAAAATTGGTATTATTTGTGTTCCTCACGTAATAGTTGCAGAGCCACAGCAAGCTGATACATCACAAAGTGTATCTTTTTTTAAAATTATTTTTTATTGCAATTTTCATATATATACAAACATTTGAAATGTTGGGATAAGGAAATACAGGAGTATAGATGGGAAGAGAAAAGGGAGGGAGGGGTAAGGGAAGGGTGTGAATCCGTGTAAATAGATAGAGTAGGGAAGAGTAAGAAGAAAGGAAAGAGGAAAAAGGAAAAAAGTTATATGAGTGCAATGAAAGTGACAGTTAAAAGAAAAGCTACAAGATATTTCATTCTTCAATCCGCTTGACTTCCAGGATTCATCTTCAGGGAGTTCTTATCCTTTTCTTTCCTTTCCTCTTCCTTCGTCTTTCTATTTCTCCGCCTCTTTAGTCGACTGGTATATGATTTCTGTCCTTCTCCTTGTCCATCTTCCTCTTTTCATTTTTTCCCTTCCTTCTCTCCATTTTCTCTCTGTCTGGCTTTTGTCTATTTATGGTGTGCTCCTTGTTTTAGTTATATAAATTTAAATATTCTTTAAATTTTGTCCAATCTGTTTCAGTTTCCATTATTCCTTTGCTTCTTTGCATAATAAAGCTCAGTCTATCCATATTTCTTACTTCCGTCATTTTTCTTTTCCAATCTTCTAGGCTAGGAATTTCTTTTTTTCTCCATAATTTAGCAAAGCACATTCTGGCCGCTG